ATTTGACTTTGTTTCGTTCACACAGTGAGATGGCAAATACATTAATTAGCAACGTAATAATGTAATATTTAATTTATATACACAATAAACCCAATTAAAAACTCGGTATCACAAGACATGGCTACGGTCACGAGCCATTAATGTTTCTGTTTCTCTGTGGAATTGCACACTTTGCCGAGGAGTTAAAAAAGAAACCGCAGAAGTTAGAGGTTGTAAAGACTCGATTTAAGCCTTACATTCCTGAGGATAACAAAATATAAACAGTTCGGTTTGTTTCTTCCTTCGCCAGGGAACAAAACAAAACTGGATGCGAAAACATCTGGTCATGAAGTTAAGAACAAATTACATCTCAGAAGTTAAGAAACGGAGAAAAAATTCATTAACAGTAAAAAATGAGAGAAATTTTTCTCTCACTCTGTGCTCAACAGCATTCCCTTCTTATTGACCTCCGAGACCACGACCCGAAAATAAATTCAACAAAGAAGTTCCGTTCTGAACATGTATTCCAATAACAAAGGTTATTAAGAACGAACTATACATTGTGTATAACAAAAACCATAACATTATTCGTTTCTTAAATATCATTACTTTACGTAATCGTATTATATTCATGTCTCCTTTTCAAGAACTCCTCAAAACACCTGTAGAATAATATAAACATGCAGTTGAGACTTGTTTATATTTCTTTTAAGATACAATGATTGAATGTTGTTGAGGGAATTGAGCGCTATTGCACAAGACTTTTTCTTTGAGGAATAGGCATTATAGAAGTGTTATCGGTACACATATGAGGATCATCGTTTAAACTCTTGGGTCCAAAATTTAAAATTTTACAGGAAATGACAAAAACACAGTACTTTTAAATGAGGAGTATTAAAGAATTTTCCGTATTAGTTATCTATTTTCTTTAGTCTCGGCTAGCAATTCGTACTTGCCAGACGCCAAAGCATTTTTTAATAATTTTCTTAAATTTTCCACTTCCTAATAGTAGAACGGAAACGTTATTTTAAGGAATTTAAAAAACAGTAAAACCTTATCTTAAATGGCAATTTTCTTAGGATAATTTGGAGCCTTTTTAAGAAAATGGCGTTCAGAACTACCGTAAATTCGAAATTTGAACCTATTTTCAGAGAAAACTATTAGGTTTTCGAAACACGTCATTTCAAGTACTTTGTCACAAATGTAATAGTGTTTACAAATCGATGAAAATATGCAAATTAAGGGCGTGAGAGATTTTTCAAATAAAATACATATGTGTGATTTTTGAAAAAACAAATACATACATTAAAATTAATTCTATGTCATCTTAATCTGTTGACAAAGTTTGAAGGAAAATTGGAGCCTTTTTAGAGAAAGTGGCGTATGAGAATTTCTGCAACTGCAGAATTTTGAGCTTTTATCACAGAAAATTGTTGTCGTTTTCGGGGAACTTTATCTGCCATTATTTAAAGTATATGTACTCAATAATACATTATGTAAGCAAATTGCCGATAATGTAAATATTAACATGAGAAACAAGTAAAGAATACATTATTGTAGTTTTTGAAAAAACAAAAGAATAGAGCAATGCTGTGTTTGTCATATTTTAGACTGCATTTAGTACTATCCCTAATAAAAGAGTGAAGATAAAATTTGGAGTCTTTTTGAGAAAATCGTAATTTTTGTACTTTTTAAATATTGAAATATTGCATGCAATATTGCTCGAAAACCACAAAAACTTTCCAAAAGTGTACAGGACCTTAATGAAAGAGCTACTTACGGGCAACAAATTTTATATGAAGGAAAACTTTAATGTTCGATTTTGTAGTTGCAGGATACGCGGTAAAAACTTCAAAATTTTAAACTTTTCGAAAATTGCGAGTTAACCGTGAAAATTGCACTTATGCTACCTTTAGTGTATTTTGCGTTACTCTTAAAAAATATAAAGAAAAAAATTGGAACCGTTTTTGTGAAAAGTTTGAACATCCGGAGGCTTCATGTAAAGTACCCCCAAATTTTAAATATATTTTTTTTAAATCTCAAAGCTTCGACTTGAGCCAGACGGACAGGGATTTCTTCAATTTGGAAAAAATCGTACGTATGGTTTAGGCATTAGTAATGTTCACAGACGGATAGACAGGCGGACGTTAAAAAAACATATTTACGGTATTGGAGGACCCCAAAACGTGTATTTCTGTTGTAATCTGGAAATCGATTTTCCGCAGCTTTGCAGAACTTTCCATATACTACGTATATTACTGAGTATGTACGTATGTAGACGGGAACGTAACTAATCCTACAGAATGGCACAGACTTTCCCATAATTGGTTTCTACTTTCTTTGACATCCGTTAGCTATAAGACGCTTATCACATTCTCTTGCTAGATGTCATCTATCGCCGTCCAAAGTACATCTTTAAAAAAAAATTCTTAATGTTTCATTATCCTAATAATAAAAATTAAATTTATTTTATGAATATTAAAGAACAGTAAAACCTCGTACTAAATTACAATATTCGTATAAAAATTTGGAGCTGTTTTTAAAAAAATGGCGCTTAAGCGATACTGTAAATTATAAATTTGAAGTTATTATTCAAAAAATTTTTGACTTTTCGAAAAACATCATTAGAAGAACGTTGCAATAGTTTACAAATTGCAGAAAATGTGTAAAATAAGAGAGTGAGAAATATTTAAATAAAATATATTTGTGTAATTTTTGAAGAAAAAAAAATGCACAGGAATGAACCTAACGTCATATTACAAAGTAAAAATCACTATCCGTTCGACACACATAAATACATTTTAGCCGTTTTTTTGAGAAAATAGCGTTTGAGCTTTGCTGAAAATGTGGAATTTTGAGCAAAAAATGTGGAATTCACGGAAAACGTTCACATTTTCTACAAACTTTATCTGACATTATCTTAAGCACATGTACTCATAAATACAATAATGTAAACAAATTGCCACTGCTATAAATATTAACGACAAGACGAGTGAGATCCAAGTAAAAAAATACATTTTTGAAAAATAAAAGAAAGCAATATGGCGTTAGTCATCTTATAAGAGTACATTTAGCGCAATGTATACCGAAAGGGAAAGACAAATGTGAAGCCATTTTTGAAGAAATATCGTTTTTCTATTTTAAAATTGCTCGAAAAATTGTGCAAAAACGAACATTTTCACAAAAATTTAAAAAACGACATTAATGAAAAAACAGGGTATTGAAAAAAATTATTTGAATGAAAAAATATTCAGTTTTGTAGTTGTAGGAGCACGCCCGAAAAAATTTCAAAGTTTTGAATATTCAGTGTTAAAACTGAACATCTGACCTATGCCACTTCAGAAATGTATTATTCTCAACTTTTCATGAAATTTTTTAAAAAATGGAGTTGTATTTGAAAAAAATTTGAAGCTGTCAGACGGACGGAGGGATGTACCGACGAACGGATGGAGCGATGGGCAGACCGAGCGGCGGACGAATGGATGGACGGACAACGGACGGGTGGACCGATCGACAAATGAACGGAACTACGGACGAATGGAGTGACCGAAGAACGGAGCGACGATCTGACGGACGGACGTACCGACGGACAATTTTAATTTTTGTATTGTTTAAAATATTGTAAATTTTATACTTTGATATGTAAGAAAAAATGGTAATTCTTTTGAAAACTGTATTCCAGAACACCTTAAGGGCGATGAATTGATTCGCGAAACATTGCATTTTAATGAAAGATGTGAATTAAATTCAGTTAATTTAAATATGAATTGTTTGATTGTAATACAAAAGGATGCCACTGTATGAAGTAAGATCAAGATTTATTAGTAATTCCCCTCTCTTTCTCCTGACCAGTGGCTAGGTACCTTCTTCACTGAACGTCGTATTCCATACACGGATCTGTTCAGATGCTCCAATATTTGCTTAGTTTCATAATAGACCTATTTTTTGGTTTGTTAGTTTTAATTTTTTTCTATAGATTCTCCTTTTTTGGCATGACCCTCTTAAAATGTACCAAAGCTGTATACATTATATTTGCGTACTTTATACTTTAAATGCACTTTAGTTAAGTGTTCTCCTCTAGTATGGTCATTTATACGTACATCTTATATTTCTCACTATGTATACTAAGTGTTAATAGTTAAGTTTCCTCATTTGGGATATATTTATTGGGAAATATTATTTCTGCATTTTACATTTGTATACATGATTTATTTACAATTCCATCTTTACCCTTTATAATAAGATCAAATAAAGCATCAAAACGTTGGCTGTGGTAGATATGTATCAATAAATCTGAAAAGAAATAACTGTTTTTAATAAAACATAGACCATCCTCGTTAAATCAAAAACTTACTAATTCTATAGGAAACGCTCTCTCAGGAGCTAGCCATGCAACACTTTCCCGCAAACGTGACGTCATTCTGGACATATATATTGGCGGGGTTAAAGTTAGTTTAATATCAAAGGCTAAAACTGTTTGTCGGCGTTTTAGTTCAATTAATTATTATCCAGTTGTCTGCCAATTGAATCTATTGATTTGAGATCATTTTGTGCTTGTCGAACGCATGAGATAGATTGTAGCTTACAGACATACTCTTTGGATAAAGCGTTCTATCTGCCTAAGATGTAAATATTGGTGTGTCGTCCGCAAGAACTGAGCAATTTCAAAATTTGAAAGTACAAGGATATCTGTAAAAATAAGTTGAAAACATTTAAGGGGAAGTTCGCAACATCGGAGGCACAAAACAATATCAACCATTGTAAACCGCAACAATAACTTAGAAAGTGTGCCGTATGAGTCAAAGATATGCAGAATTTCAGGTATTTTCGTAACGCGTCAAATAATGACATTAGAAATTTAACTTGGTACGAGACGGATCCCACGGTCACGTACAAGCGCCCGAGAGATATGCTACAATTGGCATATCTCCAATAGTTGCATGAAAATTGCGGTAAACAACGCCCAAAGCTCGCCGAACGGCTATTCTCTTTCCTGACCTTATTTATTTTCTATGTTCCAGACCAGCCATAACGTGCGAAAGGATAGGGATGGCTACATAGCAGGGAAGTGCGGCAGCGTCGCACGCGACTGTGCTGCGGCGAGCGGCGAAGGTATAAAGGTCTCATCCGCTCCGCTTCCGCTTCTTGCACTTTCACAAAATCGAAGTTTCTCTGTGTGCGAAGACGTCATCCGTGCGCTGCAACCAATCCATCACGTTTCAAGGAGTTACTAGGGTTACCAGATACTCAAGGTAGGAAAAGAAACGTATCTTGTATTTAAGTTAAAAGAAAATAATATATATTATTTCGTCCCTGTAAGGGAGATACTGCTCTCTAATAACACTGTATTTCATTTTAATCTTCCATTTCGAACGACGCATTTATGAATATAAGGATATGTAAAACATTAATTTATGAAAAGCTGTTATTTAGTCAAAAGATTTACACGGTGCTTTTAACGTTTTTATTAGATAATACATATTATATAATTTATGTATTGAAATATATAGTAATAAACGATAATATATTTAAAGGGAATACAGAATATATAATCCCTTTCAAAAATTATGAAATATTTATTTACTGATACGGTAGACCAGCAATAAAGTTTACATTTTTTAGTTTTTGTTAACAATATTTCTTCATGGGATTTTTTAAACACAGTTTTATGAATGTAAGCTCATTTTAAACATTACATTGTAAAAACTGTTTTTAGTCACAAGATTTACATGACGATACGTTTCAGATAATGATTTTAACCATTCTCAGGTCAAAAACAATGATAAGTTTCGATTGCAATATAATTAGTTTTATTCATGAATCGTCTACCATAATATTCAATTGACCAGTTTTTAGAAACATCAAATGTGTCATACATGTTGTAAAAACCATTGAAATGATCCCTTGACTTTTCCATTGTTTCTGCATTGAATCTAACAACACATAACGCATATCTTCTTCGTTTGGTTTTGCGTGTAACGTATTTTCTTCAATGTTTTTATTTAAGGTCGCTATAAAACAGCTCAGGTCACGAGCGAACACTGACATTTATCGATTTTTACAATAGAGAGATAACTGAATGGAACAACTTACATTAGGAACTCAAATCCTGCTGATTGCAACAGTTGTATGATCACATTCGTCTCCGATTTGAATACATCTGGCAAGTTGGTGTTGATTCCCAGTAACGACCTTTCCCTTGCTAGATTCAAACACTCGAGAACAAGAAGGGATGTTGTCACTTGTGCTCGACACCGGGGTCATGGCTGTAGGTCGGCTTTTCTGATCTTGTGACCATGACTTAATTTGAAGTGGCCGTTCCTCAGTCGGGTAAGGATTACTTGCTTGCTCCTACTAATTTGCAGTTTAGGCAATAATGACACATTTACCCATTTCCTGTCAAGCTGGAGATTTGATTGGCTTGATTTCCGTAATACGTCCCAGTAGTTCGGAATACTGGTGTTAAAGAGTGTTTTATTATCTTTTAGCGAACCGTATGTACTCACTTTCTACATTGGGCAATGATGTTGCATTTTTCGCGGCTGCTTGTTCATTGTCGTAAATTCCTTTATGAGAAGGAATCCATACCAATATGATTTGACTACCAATTCTAGTTTGGTGATTAAATAAAGGCTCGTGAATCTTCTGGATAAAGACATTATTTGAGTATCTCTTTTCTACAGCTTTCAATGTGGACATGGAGTCAGAGAAAAGATAACTATGTTTGGGTGGCCTACATTTTGAGAATTGTTATAGATGGTGTTTACCAACTAGGTTCTTTTATTGTGTTTCGATAACTTCTCTGTAATATATGTATTTTGTTTTAATGTTTTACCGCTCTCTTTTTATTTACGTCAAAACAGTTATAACGTATGTGACGTGCTACGGCGAGAAGTGAATTTTGGGCACGTTTTCATAAATCTGTGATTCCTTCCTTAAGATATATGATAGTTTTTGAATTTTGGATTAAGAATAAAATGAGCGGTTTTTGCAATAATTGTTAAATATCTTCCTAAAACCCCGTAATTAAAATATAAAAACTTAAAATGTGAGAAACTCTTTAAAATAAAAAGAATGTTCGTTACGTAACAGAACTACAAAAAATGAAAATGCACCCCAAAATATCGTCTTAAATGGAAAATAATTTGGGGTATTTCTGTTTCGTTATGTGACATCACTCAGTCAGATTTGTTTAAAAGGCAACCTAGAAATCTTAAATAGGAACCCCCATTTTTTATTTCAGATTCGGATTCTACGGACAAAAATACATAAATTTTGTCTGAAACTTTTTTTCTGATTTATGATAGATGGAGCTGTAATCGCAAACATTTGATTTCGACTGTAATTTGAGTGGTTTTGAGCGTGGTCGATTATTTCTAAGTAGTTAATAAAAATCACTAGTTCTTACGGAAGTCAAACTACTTTTAGCGTAACCCAGGAAAAACGAGGTGGACATAGTAGTTTTCTGTTCCCTTCGGGATGCTGGTTTTCAGTGAGTCCCCTTGCCTCTCACTATCAGAGTGCTGGTTTTAGATGATTCTACAAATACCTCAGCGTTTATGTAAAGTAAGTGCTCAAAATGATGACCCTGGACCTCAATGCATTTATTTATTTGTCCTACAAATGAATTGTTGAACAATTTTAACGAAATAGAACGCAATCGTACTTTATCAGGAAAACGTTGAGAATACAAATTAATAGCAGCGTCAAAATTTCTCCCAGTTTCGCCGTAAATGAAAATCTTTTCAATTTTTCCTTGCACATCGCATAAGCATATCTGGTGTAATCGCGGCACAAGCATCCCTTATTCGTTGCATCATGTTGCTTTATAAACGATATCTTTTAGGTAATCCCACAAAAAGAAATCTGGTGATCTGGCTGGACAGTGCACTGGTCCTTCTCTACCAATCCAATACCTCGCGTGCTACTAATGAGTAATGTGCTGGGCAACCATCATGTTGAAGCAACTTGTTTTGTCGCACTTCCAAACTTACGTCTTCGAGCATTCTTGGAAGTTCTTTATCAAGAAGGTTTCGACCACCATTTAGATTACCGTCAATAAAGTATGTTCCGATAAGTTTATCGCCAATTATTCCACACCAAACGTTAACCGACCAAGGTCGCTAATGATTTACTTGACGAATCCAGTGTCCTTTCTACATTCAAAAATGCATGTTATGGCGGTTAACTTAACCGTGGTTTGTAAATGTCGATTCATCAGAGAAAAGTACTTCAGTAAAAAAAGTTCGGATTCGTTTGTATTCTCTGAATTGCTCATTGACAAAACTGTGGAAGGTTTTGAAAGGCATTGTCAGTTAATTCCTGATGCAAGGAAACATGATACGGATGAAATTTATGTATCTTCAATATCCTCCAAACACTCATACGAGGAATCCCTGATTGTTGAGATATTTCTCGAACACTCGCATGTGGATTATGAGCTACTGAGAAAATGTTTCGATCACAATAACAAGACCAGGGAATGGTTTTTCACATAATAAAATCATACTTTATCGGTTTATTATTGCGTGACATACAAAAATATATAAATATACCACAATTTACTTATTTTCATCGTACCATAATTTCATCCCCTCCATTCAATTATTCTAGCCACTGCATCGGGCAACCCGGCACTTGCAGTTTGAAAGTTAGTCTCCTACGTTATGAAGACGGACTCCCAACTATTTTTATAAGCATTTTTTAAAATATCTTCGATTTTATGTTAAACTTTGTCTTAATTTTAAAAAAATACAGTGTGAAATTTCTGAAAATTTAAAATATTACTTCAAAGTGGTGTTGATGTCATGTTAATCAGTGTACGTATTTCCTACAAGTTTAAAAAACATTAGATTTAAATGAGTTTCTGTAAAGCTCGATATAAATCGCCTATGAAGATTGAGAAACAGAAGATAATTGTAGCTTAAACCAAAAATAAAAATATGTGTATACAACAGATAGTGCAAAAGCTCGTCCAGCATGGCAGTCGCATTAAGTCTTCATGAGATTTAGTCTTTGGCCTTCATATGCGATTTTATATCGAGTTCTAGTGTTTCATTATAATTGTTTCATTTATATATTAACATCAGTAATACTTTATTTACATTTCTTTAAAACCCCAATTCTCTCTTAATTCCATTGTTTGTAGAGAATATTTATTGTTTCGTTTCCGAGAAGCAAGTTAATCAACCATATGCAAAATTAGTATTTTCTCAGAAATGGCTCCAATTTTTTCTTTAAATATTGTTCACGTATGTAACAAAGAAAGTGGCGCTAGTCTTGTTTTTTGAGCATTTGGTATTTTCGTAACGAAAAAAACTTCAAAATGGTAAATTCGAAATTCCCGCGCTTTGTTTATGATGATTGTAACTTTATTGTACTTACAACAGTTATATGATATAGGTAAGTAAGTGTACTTATGTTAACTGTTGACACAATTTTAAGTTCTCGATTCCATTTACAATCATTCCTGATTCGAATATCGAAAAGAAATATCACGGTAATATTATTTATGAACTAACTTTATTTTAAATTGCATAATTTAATTTACTTTAATATGGGACCATTTTGCACTGCATGCTAAAGTGCGGGAATAAGTAATTCGTGTAAAAACTAGTATTTGTGAATATAACAATACTTTTTCTATCCATTTACATTTTGTTGGTAGCGGTATCATGAATTATTTGCAAAATGTGTGTATAAATAAGAAAGAGAGATAGAGAAATGTTTTAAAAGATAACGATAGAGATTTGAACGATCCGGCAACAATGGCTACTCTTTTAAACCAATACTTCGAAAATTGCTGCCGATCTCACTATGGGTATTCAGCCACAAAATTCATCATCAGACGTTTCCTCCAAAAATTGTAGACACGATGTTCATATCCGAAAATTCTTTCTATGAAATTCTTAAATTAACAGGTAAACTAAACAATAAATATTTAGTGCATCATTAAGTACAGGAACGTTTCCAGGTAATTTCAAAACGGCTAAAATTAAGCTACTCTTCAAAAACCATAACAACTTAAATTCAATATTGGCAAATTTCTCTTATCTATTTTAAAAAAACAGAGACGTACGAATAGAACACTTACTCGGTAAATTCGACGCGTTATCAAATTGCCAACATGGATTTTGAAAATCAAAATCTACGGAAACCGCCATATTTTCTCTTCTTAAAGATTACGACTTATCATTTGATCAAAGAAGTACGAGTTGGAATATATTTAGATCATTCAAAAGGTTTTGACGTCGTTGATCGTAACATTCTATATTTTTTCCGTTTTGCTCTAGGTTGGTTATGTTTCTACCTAAAACAATGATCTCAGATAGTAGAAATACCTTACTGGAATGATAAATCATTATATAAGCACCTTTCAGACTCCTTGCTCGTGGAGTCCTGCAGGGATCGATTTTGGGCCCTATTCTCTTCCTACTACCCGTAAATAATATTCCCTCGACGATTCGAAACGAAATAACAGTTCTCTTTGCGGATGATGAGAATATTCTTTGCAATTAGGAAACCGTAAATAGTACAATACCAGATGTTTCAAATTTGTTCCGTATTAACAAATTAATAGTAAGAAAACGGTTTTAATTCATTTTTTCCATTTCAAATAAACAATTCTGTACTCCATTAAAATGAACGGTGTGCCATTGACTGATGTAAAGGTAGCATTTTTTGGGTCTCTCAATTCAGTCAAACCTTCAATGGCATGTCTATTTAAATGAATTGAAAACAAAATTAAGTTCATTGTGCTACGCGTTCAGAACTCTTTCAAATTCAGTCAACCTTCATACTGCTCATTGTGTATTTTCGTAAATGTTCATTGCCAAATTCTGAAACATGCCTGCGATATGGCACATTCTGGAGAAATACATCTCATAGCTGTCAGACTTTTAGATTCAAAAAAAAAAATAATTGCACGGATAATGAACCTCTCACCTATTAATTCGGGACACGTTTTGGTAGCCAAAAAACGAAAATGTCGGGAATTTTCTGGTTTTTGCTCAATAACTTTTCAATGGTTGAACTTACTGCCAAAATAGTTGTTTGAAAGTTTAAAGGTGATCTAATTCTCGACAAATTTAGTTTATAACGTATTTCTCTCAAGCAAATGAAACACTCGCGAGCTATGGAATTTTAAAATTTCATCAAATTTTCATTTATTGTGAAGTTGCTCAAAATTACTAATGGTCTCGCTAACGTAGTGTTTTTTAATTCCTAAGATCATTATGAATAAAAAGCGATTAAATATCAATGTTTTTAATTACTTACTGAGGATAAACTCGCGTTTGCAAGTTCTGGTAAGAGTGGCAGTAGGCCTATATATTTTGGCAACTAACACGATTAACTTATATCGAAAGCATTTCAATAGATTAAAATGACGTTAGTTTCTTTATTTTAAAATGATAAATATTATTATTTGCGTATCGGCTATTTCTGACCTTACTACACGTTCTCTTCCGAGCACAATTATATTCTATCCCCGAGGGACATTGACAAAACTGACCCCGATAATGACACATGTTAGTCTCCCATGGTAAGACAAGCTTTTTTTTTCTATTTACGATCGCATAAACGTCTAGGTCATTAGCGACTACTGTTGCGTGTAACGGTATGGTAACTGTGAGGATGACACATGATGATGATGATGGGGGTGAAAGGACGAACACAATACAACCATGCCCGAGGTGGGACTCGAACCCGCGATCCTTCGGTGCGAGATCGCTACGGCACTTCTGCCTTAGCAATCCGGACAAGCTTGTTAAGCCTATAATTATGAATTATAAGGTGATAGGATGATGAGAGGTGATGGTGGGCTTTTCGAACCATTCTAGTATCCGCAATGCTAGCCTTATCGCAAGAGGTTAGGAAAATAATTAGTACGAAGAAGTTTGTGAAATAATGTTCACGTGTTAAATTTTATAATCATTTGTAAGTGATTTATCAATGTAGAGGGTGTAGAATTAGGTATATATTTTGTTTTGTAGTTTTCTTTCTTCAAATTCTTTAGAAGTTTCAGAAAACTATTAGTTGCTATAAATTATAATGAGTAATTAATGCGGGATTTTTTTGTCCTGTCATTTGTTGTCAGGTGTTGCACAACACTATGAAGTGTTGTTCCTTGTATTAAGATATAAGAATATTTTCTTTCTCAATAAAAAACATAAAACAAATTTTGATTGCATTCGCAGGTAAACGCATGGTTGTATTAGCAAGGCGACTTTTACGATGTTTCCAAATATCCGCCCTTCGACGAGCCCTGAAACTACCTCTGAACTGGTCCTCAGCACTTCTCCGAGTGGCTTTAATCATCATAGTGCTGGAAGCGCCCCTGTGCTTATATCGCATCTACGTGAACAGCGTAGAAGAGTACTTTTATCAGGTGGAAGAAAACCTCTTCAAAAATATCACCAATGGCTTAAAGTTCGAGGAACAAAGCTGTAAATTCCCACTGTACGACCCGTTCGACAAGCAAACCAAGCCGTACGTATTCAATTATCCACCTGTCAGTTGCGGCCAACCGCAGCCCTATCTCACCTACGTTGACGGCGATGGCTACATCCACATCAACTACACGGGAGCGCGTGAGGCTGGCTTGAACAAGCAGGATTTTCGGTGCACCTACGAAGAAGTTCTTCGCTTTCCAAATTCAGATGACGAAGTGACTTTCAGTAGACCGCACCCGATTCGAGACGGCAAAAAACTGACGGCGGCTTTCGTACGGGCTCGGTGCAAGCGCCGCCGGGGTGGTCGGCTCTTGTACGAAACCTTACACGCGTGGGTGAAACCGCTGTCCGAAGAACAGGAGGCGCGCGTGCTGCCCGCCTCCCCCAAGCGACCCAGCGTGCTTGTGCTGGGCGTAGACAGTATGTCGCGTCTCAACTTCATCAGGCAGCTACCTCGAACGCACGCCTTGCTCACCGACGTGTTTGGCGCCACCGTGTTCACGGGAATGACGAGGGTCGGGCAGAACACGTACGCAAATTTTATTCCTATGTTGACCGGCATGGCGGCACGGAAAAGGGACGACTTAAAAATCGTTGTTTGGGAAAAACTGTACGGACCTTTCGATGATCTTCCTGCTGTATGGAAAAAATTCAGTGAAAACGGATATATAACGATGTACACAGAGGATGTACCTATATACATGGCATTCAACTACATGGCGTCAGGATTTAAAAAGCAACCCACCGACTATTACACGCGGCCTTTCTGGCTAGCGATGGAAAACAGCAGCGGATTCGAGTCGTCTGATGGTCGCTGCTACGGGAACAGTCCGCAGTACGAGTACCTCTTCAACTACACGCGCGATTTTGTGGAGAAGATGAGAGACAAGCGCTACTTCGCTTTCAGCTTCGTCACGGGCTATAGCCACCACTCCATAAACGAGGTGCAGGTGCTGGACGAGCCGTTCCGCGCCTTTCTCGAGGGGCTCTGGCGATCCGGTGCGCTGAAGAACACTGTTGTGATTGTGCTGGGCGACCACGGAAACCGATTCGACGACTTCCGGGCCACTGTTCTCGGCCGCGTGGAGTCGAACTTGCCTTACTTGGCCATCACCTTGCCGCCGGCCACACGCGCCGCCAAGCCACATCTGCAGGAGGGTCTGCAACGCAACAACGCCACCTTCATTACCTGGTACGTGTGATGCTAAGAGCAAAAATTAATGATTAGTTAAAATTAACTTTTGTATGCAGTAATGTGTGTAATTTAGAGGAAAAGAATCCACCATCTCGTTTAGAAGCACACATGTTTCTAATACAATGTTTCTGTAAAGCAGTTTATTGACGATTTATCTTCTATAATCTCCAGAAGATAGAATTCATAGTTAGTCGAAACTCTGAGATACTCGTTAGAAATATCGAAGAAAGAAACTAAATTTTAAGATACAAACACACGATAATTTGTCAGTTAAGGTTAAGACAGTACAGAATGGTGCCGATTTTAGGTTGTCGAAGTTTAGAGGCGCCATTTACTGATTACATGAAAATATTGATATTAGGGAATTTTTTTTAGAAACTCTAATACGTCATTTTGAAAACTGTCCACACGCAATCTTTTGTTTCTTCCACTACTCTCCCACTCATGACAGGAGACCGGCGCGAACTAAAGCTCTTCACAGCTGAGGCGGTGCTCCGATAGTAGCCGCGCAGGAAGTCGTCATGCAGCGGGTAGATGGATCCACCACCCGACGGAAACATGCACTACACTTGCGGGACTAATGACTAGCAGCTGACGCGCCCCGAATCACGTCTTTTCTTTCCTCTTTCACGAAACTTTCCCTTTCACTACTATGTACAACTTACTCAGTACTATTAATGTTCGGCCCTAAGCCGCCATTCTGATTGAGTTTTCCTGTGTTTACTCTATCCTTAAGGCGATGCCGGGATTGGTCCCCTAGACTTGTTCTCCCAGACGTAAATGTACAGCTTGTTCCTCCCCTCTTAAAATTGTTACTACTCTATATGTATGTAAATTCAAGTGGTTAAGGCGAAGAGCAGGCCCTATGGCCTGAGCCTCGCCATTCATAAAGACTATTATCATATTAATAATATTATTATTATAATTTTTTGTTTGTTATTTAAGGTCGCACCAACTTACCAGGTCATTAGCGACCACTATTGCTTGCTAACGTATTGCGTAACTTGCTGGGTTCACACGATAATGATTGATGATAGGGGCTGAAATGGACGAAACCAATACAAACCATGCCGCAGGCAGGAGTCGAAACCCGATTCCTTCGGTCCGAGTTCGCTATGGCCACTCTGCCTTAGCGATTCTCGGGCCACCGATCGGCTATTAGTATTAGTATTTAGTATTAGTATTATTTAGTATTAGTATTATTAGTATTAGTATTATTAGTATTAGTATTATTAGTATTAGTATTATTAGTATTAGTATTAGTAGTATTAGTATTAGTAGTATTAGTATTAGTATTATTAGTATTATGGGGGCTGCGGTGCGCAGGTACGACGTGTACGAGCTGCTGTCGGACCTGGCGCTGGACAACCTGCAGGCGACGCCGCGCGTGGTCCGCTTCGGCCAGGTGGGCTGGTCGCTGTTCCGCGGCGTGCCCGCGCGCACGTGTCCGCAGGCCGGCGTGCCGTGGGAGTACTGCGTGTGCGTGCGCGAGGTGGCGCTGCGCGCGGGCGACGCGGCGGCGCGGGCGGCGGGGCGCGCGCTCGTGGCGCACGTGAACGCGCTGCTGGCGGATCGCGCGCAGCCGGCCGGGCCCTGCGCGCGCCTGGAGCTCGCGCACGTGCTGAGCGCGCAGCTGCTGCTGCCCAGTGCGGCCGTGGCCGGCGCCAAGGTGAGCTCACGGAGGACAGGCTTCACGGGGATACTGTAAGGCGGTTCCGGGGCAACATTGGATCTAGTTTTCTAATACAAGTTTCTTTGGCTGTGCAATGAAAGAAAGCTCGGGCGGGCCAAATAACTGACATTGAGCGATCGGAATACTTCGTTGTCTAATACAAGTTTCTGTGGCTGTGCAATAGTGATGGCATCCGGAGGGGCCCCAACTATTCATTGAACCGGTAGTCCCATTACATTAGAGAATGATTCGTTGAATCATAGTTGAATCGTTGAAATCGTTCACTAGTTGTGCCGGTATCTGTGCTGTGATTGGTGGAACGCAGTTATCAAGGCGGCTCTTTCAAAATCTCTAGAAAATGGAAATTAATGAATAATGTAAATAATCATAGAATTTTAGTACACCTCGGACGAAACGAACATAATATGCCTTTATGAATCATTTAAATCATCAATAATATCATATTTTATTTCAAACTGCCCAATTAATCTGAAGTTGTCTACCAAGGGAATAAATAATAAATGCATGGAAGAAGTACAGTTCCTCATGGAATATCTATGAAGTGAGTTGTTACTTTTACAAAACTGCATTAATTTGTGGTTTATAAATTTTAAATCTACACTACCATACTTTATAGGTGAATTATTAAACACACAACACTTTTGAAACTTGCACGAATGATTCTTCATAGAGACCTGAGGTTCGCTCTTACGACTCGTGAGTTACGTAGTCAATTCACTATTCACTAGCGCCACCGCGGAGCAGACGTAACATCGAAGAACTACATGGATGATGGACAGATTCATTAGGTGTAACCGGTGCAACTGTACCAATCATCGATTGGAAATGCCGGAAAGTGCGGTGGCAATGTTCACCGAAAAACACTCTCAACCAATATTTTCATAAGACAAATCCAAAGGATAAAATAAATGCTTTATTATGACGATTAAATACGTATAAAATATTAGCGCTGTAAATTCGTGTACGGGAGAAGGGCGAACTACAAATTAATCATTGTGCAAAAGATTCCAACAGATTGAAACGATTGAAAAGGTGGGAAAAAACCGTTGATTCATACAATCACTCGTTGCCAACACTACTGTGCAATGAAAGAAAGCTCGGGCGGGCCAAATAATTGAGACTGAGCGATCGGAATACTTTGGTGGGTGGTCATTGCATTCGAGAAGGCTCGCACCGCCATCTCGATGGCTCCTCGTCGTTGCAGGGCAGCTGGGCGGCGCTGAGGAGTGAGCGCGAGCGCTGACGCGTGTGGTGGCGCATCTTTGTTCGCAGGGCTTCGCGGCGGCGCTGCGCGTGACGGTGCGCGTGTCGCCGAGCGACGCGCTGCTGGAGGGCCGAGTGGAGCGCGACGCGTGGAACCTCCAGGGCCGCGTGCAGGGCGACGTGGCGCGAATCAACCAGTACGGCAACCAGTCGCATTGCCTGACGGACCGCCTTCTGCGCTACTACTGCTACTGCGTCGACCTGTTGCCTCGTCCGGTGCCGCATGTTCCCTCGCCCTTGCTATCGCCATCGACTCTAGCTGTTGACGCCACTTAATGTTTTGTACTTAGCTGTCGCGAAGTGAAATTCACACCTATTGTGATATCCGTTCAATCTAGTATATATTTACTCTCGTAAGAAAATCTTTTTCTTGTCTTACGTCTTTAATTTTGGTGACGGTAATCGTTATGACATTACGTGAAAATACCTAAATTTTTCTTTGTATTTGAACAGCGCGCGTAATTAAAATAACGAATTTTTAGGTGATTTTGTTAATTGATTCAGTCCGAGCGTCGCGCAATAGATAAAACCCCCGAGGCATCAAATCTACGCGTGCGACTGTTCATAATTGACTGATCTCAGTCTGTGATCTTATTTTTGATTTGGCACAAAAGATATAGGGAGCCAAATGAGGTGAAAAGTGCGCCCAAAGTCAGTCCATAATAGCGATACTCGTATGAACAATAAAAAATACGGTCGATATTTAAAAAAATCAACTCTCTAGGGTAATCTGTTGCAAAGAAGCGATGAAAAACTCGCTAAAGGAGTACGTAGTTGCGGAGTAGTAGTAATGCTTTTTTTCTCACCTTTCTTGATAACTCAGTATCGATTCGAAGGACAACTATTCAATTGAAGGCTGAACAGACACGTTTTCTCAACTAAACTAGACTTCTGAAATGTTCTAGTATGAGGGATAAATACAGTTGAAGTTCAGTAAGTAATTACATAAATTGCATAACAATTGGCTGGTCACTAGCCAAAGTGTTAATGACTGAAACCATTAACTTCGTAGATCAGCTGATTAGCAAAACAGTTCTTGGCATTAATAAGGTATGTTAACAGAAATTAAACTGCTATGAATCAAAGTAAAACAACGGATGCACTCAAAGCATTAAGTATTTGGATATGCTGAATGTCAACAGCTGTGGACATTGACATTTTGTCGCATTGGGGGTTTTTAATTTTAATATCTCCCCACACTTGGGGCAGCTATTTGTGGAGTCGACGCCTTGTAGATATGCCAGCTAGCTCAAATGCTGCGGGATACCTTGTTTCAGAGGAATGGAATGAATCGTTAAAAATTTAAAAAAATACTTATTTCAGTTAGAATTTAACTATAATGTTAATATAATTACTGGAAGTCACAAAAGTTATGAATTTTTGTGAGCTCATTACCTAAGATTGTAATAATATAAAAATTTGTTGAATAAAAGTCTAAAGACGTTAAAGGGCCGTAGCTCGGTCACGCCAAGTCATACACAAATTGTTCTTTAATTTTCCTGTGCAATCAGAAGTGACCAAAGTCCTTTGTTTCCCTAACTCGCTTAAAGAGATGTTTATTAAACATCTGCATGGTTTAATACGAAAAAAAACGCACCGTATTCTTAGGCGGAGGCTTGCTCCATCGCTGCGACCGCGGGCGGTCGACGACCCGTCAGCTCTTTCCACTGGGGGTCTAGGCTCCACGGCTTCCTAGAAAATGACGAGGCCGGGGCGGCCTTTTGACAGAGTCCCAGCAACGTCGGACATTTCACCGAACACGCGTCCGCTAAAGTCATTATTGCACTCTTCATCGATTCGTCTTTAATTGAGACGGCAAGTTTTAAATAATTCACGGTACTTCTCCTCCTGAATAACGGTAATCACTTTATGGTGGCGTAAAGCAACACGCCTGGCTATCAACATTAGAACAAGCGGGTGCTTAATCGCGACTCAAGCACCTGGCGACCCGACTTTATCATGTCCGTTACTCACTTGTTCTTGCCACAGCGCGTCCCGAGCCCCGGTTGGCGAAGCGATCTCTACTCAAGTCGGAGATGAAATCGCACGATGACGTGACCTGTCGCTTCCTGCTCTGCTTGACTGAAGACCCATTGCCAATTCGGTTAAAAATCACAAGTCCCGAATTGCACAATCAAAACGTGCGAACGCGATCCGCTCAACTCGACAGTCGTGTTCCGACTCTCTACCCTGCTTTCCGCTTCTACTCTCTTTTTCCAAGTGTGTAGACCCTTGTTCTCCCTATCCTTTAGATTACGCGCTGTGAACGGTCTAATTAATTGCGCATTAACATTTTTTGGCCAATCATTGTTGGATGTTAAGGAATAGGATAATTCGGCTTTCTTGTTTAAAATTCTATTTGCATATTTCATAAGGACTAAGTTACTGTTGTGTTGATGCCTTACGAAAGTTATTGTTAAGCGTTTACGAAATGGAATTTTGAATATTACTAATTACAGATGGAATTTACAATTGAATTGATAAGTGGAGAGTTGTGATTGTTCGAATTTATAGCGTTGGGGTGGGGGCGTGAATGTGGGTTTCCATTATTTACTCGGGCTGAGGTATTTCTGTGGTTGGCATTAGGAGGGGCGGGGTTGAAGTTTCGAATCAGGGTTGCGAGGGTGGGGAATTTTGTTCCCAAAATGTGGTTTTTTTTGTTGTGAAGAGAGAATGAGGAACATAAATGGACGGGAAATGTTTTGGGATTTTTGGGGGAAATTATGTGCATTCAGTCGTGATAGAAACATTATTACCTCAATTATTATGAATAAAAAAGAAACTATGGATGTTATGCTCTCTAATTATTATGCGACAAAAAGAGAAAAGTAAGGGATTGGCATAAAATGTTCGAACAAAGTTAAAATTTTTTGGGCGTCTTCCTACAACTACAATATTCAAGGTGTACTTTTATTTGACATCTATAGTATAAAATTAGATATAGGATAGGTCTTTTGAAAAAAATTGTACTTTACCCTATTTAAAATGTGTACTGGTAATGATGAAAGGCAATGATGAAAGAAAGATTTTTTCCAAAATCGGTTTCATACTTTTTTATTGGATAGAGAGAAATTCAGTGAATTTATGAGTAAATTCATAAAGATTATCTTGATGTAATCTTAATTTTTTTAAGTATTACAGTAATCATGTACGTACGTAGTATGTTCGAGTAGTATTATAATATGACTTAACGTACAAAGAATGTACGTGTTATTGGTGTGCAACTAGTTTATAATGTATTGCGTCTGTGAGTACAAGTGCTTTAATTGATTTATTTTGAAGTTGTTTAAAATTAATTTAAAAAAAACTAATTTAATTTTTTTGGCTAAATAAATTCCAAATGGTGTATTTTCACTGAACCCTTTTCAAAGAAAATAAAGTTCGTAATTACTTCACGATATGCGTCATTCAAAATTGGATACAATTTGTCCATTCAACATATCGCAGTCATATTAGTTCATTGTCAATTCACGAGAGAAAACGTGCAATTTCCAATATGAACTCGGTTATTTGAATTGTAGTATTTTTGAAGCTCATACCTCGTGCGCTGTGTATTTTAGTAATTGGAAATTCTGTTTACTCCTGAACACTTGCAAACAGATGTATTGCAAACTTCGTCAGTGGTAGTTGCATGTTGGCATCCATATCTTTAAATTAGTAGTGCTATAGAATGTCACATACTTTCTCGTTATTGTTAGTTCTGTAATTTTTTTGGTCCGACTAAGCTTTTCAGATTTGACCCACCTATTCCCAGCTGCCATTTATCGCCGCTCAAAGTACATTTTTTCTCATTTTCCCAATTTTTCTGTTCCCTAATGGTAGAACTGAAGTATGACTATTACTATTATTACTACTACTATTGTAGAAGAGAAAAACTCCACCAGTATGGACATTTTTGTTGAAAACTCTGGAATCGTTTTTTGATGTCCGCAACGCAAAATTTCAAGCTGTTTTTACAGAACATTTTATTTTCAATTTTAGAGTTTTTAAATGTTAACTTTTTGCAATTTTCAAAAATACGGAGTGTTTGTCGAAAATGGAACTAGCATCATCGTCAGAGGTAGTGGCATTTTGGCATCCATGTCGTTAAACTAGAAGTTCTATAAAATGGCACACACTTTCTCGTGATTGTTAGTTATGTAAATTTTTTTGTCCGACTTAACTTTTCGGATTTGCCTCACCTATTCCCAGCAACCACTGTTCCTTGGTACATACGCGGAGAAACATTAATGAACAATTTGGAGTGATTTTTGAGAAAAAAATGAACGTAACCTTGTTTCAGTATCTTTCTTTAAAGAAACCATTTAATTCAGAAAAAAAAACTTAATTTTGAAAAATTAGGGATATTAGCAAACATGAGACCTGCACCATTTTCTTTAGTGTTATTTTCACTATCCGAGAATAAAACTCAATCAAACATTTTGCAGAATTTTTTAGAAACGTTTGAAAATGTCATTAAGGGTCCATGTAAAAAATCCTCAAAATCCCAAATTTCCAGTTGGTTTCTCTCAAAGCCGTTCAGATCGATCTAGGAATATAAATTTTGGGGAGAAGTTGCTTCGCGGTTTAGGCGCTAGCATTGACCAGAGTCGGACGGACGTTTTGCCGTGAATTGATTTTTCGAGGACGCCCAAAACATGGTTTCTGGCTACACAACGTGCCAGAGGATTTATCAACGTTTTCGTTACCAGAGCCTGGCAAGAAGAGTTTTTCTGCCGAAATTTCACCGGAATTTTCGGCAGAAACACTCTTATTGCTGGTCCCTAAGTTCAAGTTTCTGCGAAATAAAAGTTTACGTAACAAGGACGCGAAGCAGGTGATTCACACACAAGTCGAGTTTGTTGTCCGAGCTTTGCTCGGACGCCAAAAGACAAGTGCGGAAATTCCTAGCACTTGTGTTCCGTACACTATTTTTTAACATGCCGTGAGCGAAACGCAATGTTTCATATAAAGAAATATACATTTTATATCAAATCACTTGAAATACCTTACTTGCACAAAAGTAAATGGATTGCAATCAGTGTCTTAACACTACAAGTATTGTTTGTAAATATTAAGAAAATGTGTCGTCAAGACGAAAGACAATTGCGGGTCGTTACAGATGTGTCGCACACTAAAAATGTTTGCTGTGTCGCACACGCAAAACAAGCACGAGAAACCACGTTTCGCGCAGGGCGTGTTAAAAAATAATTTATGCTGGTTGAAAAATCTTTTGCATGTTTATGTAGTACTATAATATAGCATAGAAGTTACAAATAATGCAAGAACGTAAGTGCTGTAGCGGGATTTGCGGATTATTTTTTAACAACATTGCGATGAGTTGTGGGACAAATAATACATACCATAATACTATGATGTACAATTTTTCCCTCTTGCACATCCAAAAAATCGCTTGAAATAATATATTTCCGCCAATGAATCTCATGTTTTCTGTTTGATGTAACTATTGCACATCTACATGTCACTGATGGTTTAACGCGCCCCTTCATTACCAGCAGGTAATGTTTCTAATATTTTTCCGAAAACAAAACTAGAATCCCTTACGAGCGGTTTATCACGGTTTATTAAATGTTGTACATCACTATAAACAGCGTCAATATTAACTTTTTGTGTTAATGTAAATTTGCTCCTTAGACTGAAAACTTATGCATGAAGCATTTTACTCTGCTTATTTTTAAAAATACCGCACATGGGATGCGTTTTCAAACAGACTTTTCACAGAATTTATTTTTCACAGACGCGGTTTCATTTCTGACTTTCGACAGAATGAAATAATGTGGAATGCTTTGCCTCTAGTGTTTGGTGCTTTTCAAAATATACGGCAAGTGGCGGTATATTTATTACGTATAAATGATTTTCAGTATCATAAAATTGCTGTTGCTGGACATTCAATTTTTATTCTTTATTTTCTGTCACCCAGTCAAGTGGAATTGCGTTGAAGTGAAACTGTTAAAATGATTATCTCTTTATATCAGACCTATATGAGTAGCCGGCAACCCTTTTAGTTGGCAGGCTCGGTAGGGCCGTGGACCCAAACCATTCATCGAGCCGAAGGACATCGACCTCGCCGCCGAGAACAAAGTGCGATGGTAGTCAACGAAAGAGACAGCACACTTACATATATATTCTTTTTTAAATAGCACCTGCAATCATGTGCAGTTCTCAATTACTAACGCATCATTTGCTCACTCCCATCTCTCATTGATTAGATTAATTAAATTAATGTAATCGAATTCAAACTTTTCTTTTTTTGTATCGCATATTATGCCCTTTTCGCATCAAATTAGAACAGTATTTCGTAGCAGCAATGAGGAAGGATATTTCGTAGGCCTGGGGCACTCATGAAAGTCGACCGATCACTAGCGACCATGTGTGCGGAATAAATTATAATACCAAAGAAGATGGGGCAAAATGATAACAAATACTGTTTACTGCGAGGCTACAACCGCACTTTAGTGTTCATCAGTTAGTGATATTTTTATAAATAACCTGATTAACATGTATGTATTTAATGAGCTCTATTTACAA